GGGTACTGAGTTCGCATAGATTCTTCGGTCTCCCAGGTTGCTTCTTCCACCGCATGATTACGCCATAGTACCTTTACCAAAGGTACCGTCTTGTTTCTTAACACTTTAGTTTCGCGCGCCAAGATCTTAACTGGTTCTTCTTCGTAAGACAAACTCTCGTCGAGGGTTACAGCATTGGTCGGCAACACATGAGTCGGATCTGAACGGTATCTACGTAGCATGGAGACATGAAAGACGTCGTGAATCCTGTTCAGCTCTGGTGGCAACTCTAGCTTGTAAGCATCAGGTCCTATTCGCTCCAGAATGCGGTAGGGTCCAATGAATCTAGGGCTAAGCTTCCCTTTCTTCCCGAACCGTAGGACCTTCTTCCAAGGTGAAACCTTCAAGAATACCATGTCACCAACATTGTACTCTATGTCTCGTCTCTTCAAGTCTGCATATGATTTCTGTCTGTCCGAAGCAATGCGGAGTCGGTCTCTGATCACACGAACCTTTTCCTCGGTTTCCTGCACGATATCTGGTCCCTCGAGCTTACGCTCGCTAAGCTCTGTCCAACAAATCGGGGTTCGGCACTTTCTGCCGTAGAGTGCCTCATACGGAGCCATCTGAATACTCGCCTGGTAACTGTTATTATACGCAAACTCCATCAACGGCAATTAGCGCTCCCAATCTTCTCCAAAGTCGATCACACAAGCTCGCATCATATCCTCGACAATCTGTATCACCCTCTTAGACTGGCCATCGGTCTGAGGGTGAAATGCCGTACTAAGGTACAAAGCTGTGCCAAAAGCCTTCTGAAGTCCTCTCCAGAACTTCGAAGTGAACCGGGGATCTCTATCAGATATGATTGACAGCGGTGCACCATGCAACCGAACTATCTCTCTAACGTATAAGTCTGCCAATTTGTCCAAGGAAGAGTCACGTCTGACGGGTAGAAAATGAGCGGACTTCGTCAACCTGTCAACAATGACCCAGATGGCGTCATTCTTTCGTGAAGATCGTGGCAATCCTATCACAAAGTCCATAGTGATCCTTTCCCACTTCCATTCCGGAATGGTAGGAGGGTGCA